TTGAGTCCACGCATTCCAATCTTGTGAACCAATTTCTTGAATGTAGATGTTGGCAATACTTTTGTAAATAAATCAGCCACATTATCACTTGAACGAATTTGTTGAATATTGATATCGCTATTTTTCTGAAACTCGTGTGTATGAAAGAATTTTGGAGAAATATGATTGGTCATGTCACCTTTGATATAACCTCATTTGAGTTGTGCAATACGCGCAGCATTATCTTCATACAAAATTGTTATTCTATCTTTTACTGAAATTAATCCGCATGATATTTGGATATGATGGGTCATGTTCCTCAACCATACACATTCTCGGTCTGCTTCATGGATTGCAATAGTTTCAGAATGATTTGAGGTTGTTGTTGTCAATGATTGCTTCACAGATTTCCATGATATAGTTGTTCCTCCACTTGTAAACATGTATCATGTTTGTGATTTACAGAAAAGTTATGTCGGTTCGAGTACAATTTGTAAGATAAGTTAATGCTCAATTGCACTAAGACATGGTACTTTAGGACCAAGAATATTTTCTCCATCTTCAAGTGGACGAAAATGATCCTTTTTTTACATCACGTGATCGAACAACCATAGGTGATGCCAATGGATGTGCATTATCCATATAAAATCGTTTAAAGACTTTTTCTGTATATGTAGATTGATGAAAATAATCCTTTTGGAAAATGTTCAATTTGCAACCCGAGACAGAATTTGATTTTTTCCAAATCTTTCATCTCAAATTCATTTTTCAAATAATCTACAATTTAGTTGAGCTCTTCAAAAGTTCCAATTAAATTTAATCATCAGCATAAACTGTCACAATTGAAAATTCAATATTTGTTTTCTTTATGAGCCAGACATCGTCATTTTTGTAGCCTACATTCAACAAATATTTGCTAAGGCGATGATACCACATGTGCCCGGATAGTTTCAATTCATATAATGATCATTACAATTTAATTGAGAACATGGTTCTCTAACATTTATCATTTGTTTCCCGCACTTTAAGTCCTTCAGGGACATTCATATATATGTCACTGTCAAGTGAATCATACAAATAGGTAGTCACTACATCCATAAGGCCCATATCGACCTTTTGTGATACATTCAAACTAATTAAGAATCTAAAATTGATGGTGTCCATTACTGGAGAATATGTTTCCTCATAATCGATTCCTGATCTTTGTGAGAAACCTTGAGCTACGAGTCGGACCTTGTATCTTGTAATTTCATTATTTTCATTTCTCTTTTGTAAAAAAACTCATTTGTATCCAACATGGATTACATTTTCAGATGTTCGAACTACATGTCCAAACACTTTTCGTTTCTTTAAGGAATTCAATTTCGCATGTATGACTTCTTTTCATTTTGGCCAATTATTTCTATTTTGACAGTCTTTAACAGACAACGGTTCAGGATCCTCATTTTACACAATATCAAGAGCCATGTTAAAAGCAAAAATATTGTCTATAACAACATTATTTTTCTCCCATAATTTATGAGATAAGAAATCTCATTATTTTCGGACACTTGTGATTTTTCAAGAACCATATTTTCAATATTTGATTGATCAATTTTATTTAATGTTACTTCTTTTGAAGTTTTGGTTGGTTTTTCTCTTGTACTTTTCTTTTTCGAGGTACAGAGTCTTTTGAACCAACCGATCAACCACACTTCTGGTGTATTTGAGATTCATTTGCTACACTAAATTGTTGTGCAGGGACATCAATTTTTGCTAAAATATTTTCTGCTGGTATATATGACTTTGTCATTTTTCTCGTGTCAACAAATGTATCTGATAATTGATTTGCAACTCTTTGCAAATGAATAATTTTTTCAACCACTTACTCACATTGATTACTGTGGGAATCAAAATGAGAGAGTTGTTTCATTCCAAGAAATTTTACCTTATTTATCAGGATGTGGTTTTTCCCCTTCTAAAGTTGGAAAAGTCATTTCATCAAAATGACAATCTGCAAAACGTGCAATAAATAAATCACTCGTTAAAGGTTCAAGATACCTAATAATAGATGGTGAATCAAAACCCACATAAATCCCAAGTCTTCGTTGGAGACCTATTTTAGTCCGTTGTGGGGTGAAATGGGGACTTGAATAGCACAACCAAAAACTTGCAAGTGAAAAATATTAGGTTCATGACCAAATGTTTGTTGCAAATGTGAATATTGATAATATGCAGTTGGTCTGATACGAACCAATGACGCAGCATGCAATATGATATGACCCCAAACAGAAGTTAGGAGTTTTGTTTTCATAAGTAATGGTCAACAATAAGTTGTAGATGTTTAATAAATGACTCTGCTAAACCATTTTATATATAGACATGTGTAACCGAATGTTCAACAACAATTCCAATTGACATGCAATAGTCATCGAATGCTTGTGATCTAAATTCACCAGCATTGTCAAGACGAATAGTCTTGATTGAGTAATTGGGGAATTGCGAATGTAGTTTTATGATTTGAACAAGTAGTCTATCAAAAGATACATTCCTAGTAGAGAGTAGGCAAACATGTGACTATCTAGTAGAAGAATCAATTAATACCATAAAATAATGAAATGGTCTACATGGTGGGTGTATTGGCCCACATATATCTCCATGAATCATTTCCAAGAAAGTTGGAGATTAAATATTGACATTTATACTCAAAGGTCTAACGACTAACTTGCCTTGCGAACAAGCCATGCATGATAATCATTAGATAAAAGAATCTTCTGATTCTTTAAAGGATGTTCATGTAAGTTATTTATTATTCGACACATAATTATAGCTCCTGGATGTCCAAGTTGATTATGCCAAAGAATAAAAAAATTTTGGATCAACGAATTTCTAGTTCATGATAATGTTTTATTCGACCATTTTTATAAATGTATAATACATGCCAGATGGGATTGCATAAAATTATGCTTCTGGCCTGATGCAAAAGAAGTTATGTAAAAATATTCAACATTATTTTCTTGCATCGTCTCATTGTGATATTCATTGCAACGGATATCTTTAAACTANTTTGTTTTGTGCCTTTTGAAATTGTCTTGTTGCTGGTAATTTTGTTGATTATTTTGTCCATGATTTATTCCCCGCATCCACGTTCACGTCCTTGTCTTGATATTGTATTTGCTTCAAGCAATTCAGTACCATTTGCTTCAGGCAATTGTACGAACCAATTGAACGTAACCTATGATTTTTCATTAGCAGTTCATTATTTTGTTCATCCACAAGCAGACACTATTTGAGTTTCGAGTACCTTTTGAAACCACGCTCACAGTATTGCTGCTGCAGGAGCACATTTGAGACGTGAAAGGTAGAAAAAGTTTTCTCCAACATATTTTTATCGGTGATTTTTTCTCCACACAATGTCAGTTTTGAACATATTCTGAATAGTTCAAATTGTACTTACTAACAGTTTTGAATCTTGCAAACGAAAATACATCCACTCATAACGGGCTTTGGGGGGACTATAGTCCTCTGATGATCAAATCTTTCAATTAATTTTTTCCAAAGAACATGTGGATCTTTCTCAATGAAATATTCAATTTTCAATCCATCGTGAAGATGATGACGAAGGAAGATAAGTTCTTTTGCACGATCCTACAGGGATTCTTTGTTTCATTCTTTTCGTCTCTCCCAAACCTTTTGAGATCAGATGGATATCAGTATCGAATACCCATGACAAATAGTTTTTGCCAAATATGTCAAGTGCATCAAACTCAAATTTTGTGATATTTGTTATTTAATTAACTACACAATAAAGCAAAAGAAAAAACAATCAGTTTCTAAGAATATGATTAAATATCAATAGTCAATATCAATATGACATAAGTTACGTGTTTTCCTTCAGGTATAAACACTAATTTAAAATAGTATGTTCTTCNATATGACATAAATTACGTGTTTTCCTTCAGGGATAAACACTAATTTAAAATAGTATATTCTTCGAAACATGTACTATTTCGAGAGTACGTTGTATTTTATTATCGTTTATTCAAGAGCAATATGTCAATATTCTTCTGGAATATAATATTGAGAATTATAATTTATACTCTTCAGGAGCAAGTAATATTCTTCAAGAATATTAATTATAAAGTTGTGCTACTTCAGGAGCAACAATATGATAAATTATCAATTTAAAATTTAAAGAAGAATGTCCAAAAATATTTAATCACGTTTAAAATATTAATTACCATATATCCATTATTAAAAAAAATATACAAATACGTGGAGTTGAATATAACGTATAGACACCTTCATTATGCAATGGATAGCCTTCTAACGTAAAGAATAGAAAAGATTACGTAAAAGAATGAATTATGCAGGCACACATACAGACACAATTATTATGAAGACACTTGTTCGTTTGTTCTTAAGTTCCCATGCTATATTTTTGTAAACATCAAAAAGCTAGGCCTATCATAATAGATCCAGGTTTATAACACTTAAAGAAGTCTTGCCGACACATATATGCAAAAAGATTGCGTTCGCTAACTACATTCTTGCCGACACATATATGCAAAAAGATTGCGTTCGCTAACTACATTCAACGAGGTTAACTGTGAACAGACGAATGGTTGCAAACGTAAGGCAAAAAAATTGGCATGTTACCAAATTAATTTTGACACACGCGATAGATGATTATTGTTTAAAAAAATTACCATCTTCTCTAAATTTTGAAAAATTAACTTTTTGTACTAATAAAGTATTATAAAATAGAGAAAAGAAAAGAGAGAATAAAAGTCATAGACTTGTGTATTTTATTGAGAATCAAGACCAGTATTTATAAGGTCTAAAATAAAAGTTATAATTAGAATGAAATAGACTTTCTGAACTAAATAAAACTTATTTATATATTATGATAATACTAAATAATCATCAATAATTATCTCATTATTTTACAACAAAATTTATATATTTTTAAAATCTATCAAAATTTCACACCCCTTTAGTTGAGGACGCCTCCTAAAGCTGTCTGCTCAAGATCTGGATACATGGAGGAGACTGTACAAATCTATGAAAAATTGCCCATCATCAACTTTTCTCTCCTACACCACGATTCTGTCATCAAGCAAATCCATGAAGCTTGTCGAAACTTTGGTTTCTTTCATGTACTCAATCTCTCTCTTTCTCTCTCTCACACACACCTCTTTTTAATCTCTTTTTCGTTCTTATATGTTACAGTATATGATATGCAATCCTTTCGTTTTGTTGGGATTTAAATTTAGGTTATCAATCATGGGATACCCGAATCGGTAATCGAAGGTGCTTTGAATGTGAATTCAAATTTCTTTGATTTGCCAATGGCGATGAAGGAGGAGCTCTTGTCTGATGATGTACAGAAGCCAGTTAGATTTGGTAGAGCACAAGTTGGATGCCATGAAAATGGGGTGCTCTCAAGAGACTTCCTTAAGCTGTATGCACATCCTATTGATCATTTTCTCAATTTATGGCCTTCAAATCCTCCCAATTATAGGTATGATCAACTTTTTTATTTTATTTTTTTCCTTTCCTTTTTTCTTTAACACGTTTTTTTAGAAACATAAACTTTTGAAGAAAAATATTTTAATTTTTTATTGTTATGTGTCATTGGGTGTATTTGAATAATTTTAAAAGTTTAAGGACTAAACTGTAATTTCAATAATTATTTTTGGTATTTACCCCTATTAGGTTTATAAAAAAGAATAATGCAATTTATTATGATCCTAGAACATTGGTCATGTGACGTCTACGTGGATTAACGAAATTTGGCATTTCAATTTTTATGAAGGGGAGGAGAGAGAAAAATGTAATGAATAATTGGTTATCACATCATCGATATTCTATCATCGTGATGATAAATAGTATTATTCATATAAAATCGTACTTTTAGTAGATTTGACTTAGATTTTAATCAAATTTTTTTGACTGAAACAAGCAAGACTCGACTTTTTATCATACGGTTTTCTAGAGTTGAACATTGAAATGTATTACGATAAAGTTCATCACTCAACTTAAAGAAAAAAATATCACGTGTATCACTATATGATTTTATCTCAAATCACTCTCTAAACTTATAAAATAATGCTATCTAGCACCAGTCTAATGCCAATTTGACATGGTATAGCTCGAGGAAATGTCCAAGGTGGCTGTTAATTCCTAACGGCATAGAGATGTGTTTGAAAGCTGGTGACTAAATTGAAACAAAGAAAAGTAAAAATTATGTGTTTTGACTGAAATTTCTTCACGAGTTCAGTGACTGATCTCACTGATATTTTTGCAATGTAATTGAAAGTTACTGCTTAGAATTGATCTAAGGATGTGCTCCTGGGATGAATGTATGTTTTTCTTTAATCTTGTACTGTGTCCTAATTTTAATATATTCTTTTGAAGTTTTAACAAAATGTTACTACAAGCATTTTTACCATTCCTTTCATTGAAGAATACTGCAAATATTTACTAACAGTTCTTTGGTAATGTAATAGGGAAAAAATGGGAATCTATGCAACAGAAGTCAGAAAATTAGGCATTGAGCTTTTTGGAGCAATCATGGAGAGCTTAAACTTAAGCCCAACACACTTAAAACAAAATTTTGAACACGGCGAGCAAATTATCGGCATAAATTCCTATCCTCGATGCTTGGAATCAAACATAAAAACAGGTGTAGCTGCGCATACGGATCACAGCATCATCACCATTCTTCTGCAGAGTTCCCCAGGGCTCCATATCGTGGACAGGTCAGATAGCACATGGAAGAGCGTTTGCAGGATCGAAGGGTCGTTCGAAATCATTGTGGGAGATCATTTGGAGGTTATAAGCAATGGTTTGTACAAAAGTGTATTGCATCGAGCCATTCCGAGTTCAAATAATGGTTCTAGGTTTTCTATAGCCAATCTTCACAGCCTTGGAATGGATGAAATAGTCGAGCCTGCTGCGAAGCTAGTGGATGAAGAGCGTCCAAAGAGGTACAAGGGGAGCAGCTTGAGAGACTTTATCGAGCATCTCTCGTCCAAAGACAAAATACCTTTTATTCACACTATCAAAATACAAACAATCTCTGACAGTTGATGAGTATATGGTCATCTCCGCTCTTCTGATAAACCTAGTAATGAACCAAACGAGTGAGGCAAAAGAATTCATGTGGTCGACTAGAATTGTACTTAATTTATCGGTGTTGTAATCAGAAGTTAATTACACACTTTAATTGAACTTTAATTTGTTGGTCTACGTTAATGGAAGTTTGGCATGTTACTTTTTACAACTGCAGTGAGACCTTGGCCCGACCCGACAATAGACCAGCGAAACAACATTTGCTAAGTTAGCCTAGCATATGTTAATGATTTTGGTAAATTCTATAACAGTTTCAGTAATGATCGGATTTAATCTTTTTTAAAGTAATAAGGTTTTTTTCTTGTGCAGTGGAAGTGCTAAAAATATATCTAACAACATATTTTTGGAACCCTAATCCTTTCCAAAATAAAATCGATAAATTTATTGTGGTTTTAAATTGCTTGAAGAGAGCTTTTTTTATGGAAAAAAATAAAAAAAGTTTGTGGGTAAACTACATTCACTGTAATTGTATACCTTACTTTAGAGTCAATTAATTTTATATCAATTTTGTTGAATAAGGTAACTAAATTAAACTTTAATTTAATTTTAATTGAGTAATGTTTACGCCCAAAGAATAACGCGGTAGTTGTAGCACAACTTTGGGGGTGTCGTATCCACTGAGAGATGGAAGAATATTTAAAGGATCAAAAAGGGATGAATTGTTATCTCAAAAGTGTAATTGAATTCAATATTGGAAAAATGAAGTTAAAAATCAACAATTTAAAACAGTGAAGCATCAAATTCCCTCGGTTGGATTGGATCATTCACATCAATTATTATGTTTTATAACTCAATTAGAGGCTTTCATTCCGACACTCTAATCGGAAGATTTATCGTGAAAATCCATTTATTTTACAAATGTAATTCTAGAATCTAA